ATTGCTAAAGAGCAGAAGTTTAATCAGTTTAACATATTTCAAAACTGGTGTAAAAGCTACAATAATAGAGCTGTCAAATCAAAAACTTCGCTAGCGGTTTGACGTTTGCCGTAAACGTCAATCTTAAGGTCTCTATTGTCTTTTATCCCCGGATTTAAATATTGGCGTAACACGAGCACGCTTCCATTCATCTATATATACGCCTGTTGCAAGCGACAGATTGAAAATGAATGTCAACGAGGGTGCAATTATGTTTGCAGATAATTTTAGAATTTTAGCAGGAATTTTATCAAGACCTGTTGCTTTACATGCTTTTAGGCCTCTTAAGGTCGAGGCAACACTATCAACGGATATTGGAGATACTTTAAAAAAAGTATCTGAGGATTGATTAATATTATAGTTTATGGGCTGATTATCAACATTACTACAGGACTCGTCTACATATTCTGCTGCTAGCCTCGACCCAATACTAATGAAATAGTCATTAAATGCATCTGCAATAGATTTAGGATCCGAAACTAACGTGCTGTCAACCAGCAGCTCATTCACATTGTTGGATTTGTTATTCTTTCCCAATAATAAATTAATTAATTTCCAAGTCTTTTTAGGGTCATTCATTACAGAGCAATCAGTGATTTTATCATAAAAATATTTTGATTTTACATTTCGCATTTCAACATTCACTTTATTCCGCAGAAATTGAAAACTTTCCCAATGTGGCTGTGAGGAATGTTTATTGCATATTTTTTATGATAGTCTCTGTTTCTCATCATACATTTAATTTCCGGAGTAATCCATGGGACCGAGTTTCCCTTTACTCGCTTATGTCGAATCGGCGCATGTATATTTAATATCTCATTAAAGAAAGATTTCCATACCCTCCAGCATTCGTTGGGATTATTATATTGATTAATTACATGCCAAGGCATTCTGGCTAAATCCCCAATAAAATATTCAGCATTAAAATGTTTATAATCCCTAACTTCTTTCACATTAGGTTTACGTTTTGGAAGGGTGAACTTCCTGACCACATAAATCAAACTATGGTCAGACATCCCCAGATCTATTACACCAGACGTCGAAATGTTTTCTTTAGCATTAGTTAAGACCAAATCAATCAAGGTCGCCGAGGTGTTGGTCTCTCTTGTAGGTTTATTAATTAATTGGTCAAGTTGATAAAGAGAACACAAAAAGTTTAATTGTCGTGTATGGGCATCTGGTGAGGTTTTCATAACATCGCAGTTAATATCACCAATTATAATCAATTCCTTATTTTCAGACTCGCATTTTTGAAAAAATACATCACAATCATTAAATAAGCTCAAGTTTGACTTCGGAGGCCTATACCATGTGCAGACAAAAAGCGACTTGCTAAAGGGGCGAGTAATTTCAGCACACAGCATCTCAAGACGATCGGGCACCAAGTCATTCCTATCCAAATAGGATAGGTTGTCTCTGATATACAACACCACACCGCCTCCCGCCCTATTACGGTCCTTTCTTATCAAGTTAAAACCAGGGATACTTATTTCCCCATCCATTACAGAATCATCTATTTTGGATTCATTAATAGCAAAAATATCGAAGGGAAATTTAAATAACAGATGCCTAATTTCCTCAATGTGTTTCAATAAGCTATTGACATTTATACTAGCAATTTTTAGGCCTTTTAATCTAGCGACGCAATGCATTGCAGAATCAAACTCACCCATTGTTGGACCACGGCATGCTTTACCTGAATTGTCATTCCCATAATAATGTCGGTACAACCAAGACTCTCTAATGGGTTTATTGCAACTTTTTTGATGTATTGTCGCCTTTATCCATTTATTGCGATCCTTCCAAATATTCCGTACGTTGTTATCAGTGGAGTTACAAATCTTTATGCTATCATTCAGAACTCGATACTCAGTATAATCGTACACCGTGTTCTTATAGAGTATTGAAAAGTCAATCCAAACTTTGTATTCGTCATCGTATTTTATATTGATGATTGATTCGTTGCACATTGATAGATCTTCTTGGGTATACTCAGATTTCGTATAAATTTCACGTCTGCTCCGGAGATGTTGAGTTGTGAGTGAGGCGAACGTCTCTCTTTTGGCTGCTTTTCTCAAGTCATTCTCGTGAAAAATTTGAGTTTCCAATGAAGATAAGTTTTTACTGCCATTGTTTTGCCATTCTGTCTCATTTGATTGGGATATGGTTGTCGATTCTTTGCGTGGAACGTTTACCTCAGGCGGCGATGAAGTTGAAAAAGGTAGTACTGGGTTCTTTTGTATTCTTTCATGTCGGAGTGTTTTCATTGCAGTTCCTAAAAATAAATTATGGTTAACCATTACTTCTTCTTAAGTGCTAACATTGTCATATTTTCAATATTTACCTTTTCTAACCATCTTTGAAAGATCAGTTTTCTTCCGCGCCTTGCGGCCATCAATTTGTTTCGCATTTTCTGTCAAGTTATGGGCGCGTTCGTCTTGTTCGATAGAAACGTTGACATTCAAGGGTTTACCTTTGAATTCATTTTTTAATTTGTTCGGTTCTGTTTTATCTTCTCGCCTGTCATTCTCTGAACGACCACCATGGTAAAAACAGGCGAAAATCAGACAGAAGGAAAATAAAACGACTCGATACAAGAGTCGGAAACTAAAGCCACGAACCATGTTGCAACTTGCAAGTGTTGTCAGGCAACTGAGTGCTGTCTTGGCCAAACACAAAATTTAAAAGGTTTATGATTAGGCAATTTGTGATAATGATAGCAGCTGAATGCAGCTGTGCTTCGTTGTAAGAGCAAGCGGCTTCCATCTCTGAAATTGTGGGTTCAATTTTCGAAACATTCGTTTGAAAAGAATCAGTCAACGCTCTGCAGAATGTTGTTGGTTTTCTTTGGGTACGCCAGTTTCCTCCCACGAGAAATGTTGAGAGTGGTCCCTACCCATCCACCCCCCCCCCCTCCCGCGAGCTTTCCAGCGACTGCATGCCCTTGCTACCTTTGCCCTTGAAAATTTATTAACACATTGAAAATTTATTAACACCGAGACGACTGGGGAAGGGTGAGATATAAGCCCCTCCTCGAATATAAACCCCTCCGTGTATAAGCCAATGGACAACAGCTCAGACGATAATTACATTTAAGTAATATAATTATGTGTTAATTTGTGTTAATCATGTGTTGTTTTTAAGTCATGTCAAGTTTATATTCTTTTCGTCCACGGTATACTGTAGTTTACAGGTACAATAAATATTATTACTAATATCAAATGTCGTCCGTAATGAGTCCCCCCCCCCCTCCGTATATAACACCCCTCGTGTATAAGCTTTCTAAATAATGCTTACGAACGGATATAAATTGCGTCATATACAGTAACATGTTTTAGTTTTAAGATGAGCATATAAGCAAAGCTCATGGGCGAAGAACAATCTCGTTGACTTATTGACTCGTTCCCAGAGTATGCCCGTTCGCAGGTTAGGTACTGGGCCCAAACCTGCGAAGTGGCATATTCTGAGAACGAGTTTGGCTGAAAAAAAGGTTTTTGCACATTAAATTAGTGCCGATAGTTGTATTTTTTAGGTCTAATAAATGTATAAAAATTCCGCTCATTTCTTCAAATATTTCTTCAGTTACAAAACCAGAAACTCTTGCACATGCGCAATATTGCTACAGTTGAATAGAGAGTATCAAGTTCCCTTGGGCCTGCACGCAGGCTAGATAGAGAACGACCTACCTCCTCCGCAGGCCCTTTTTCCGGGCACATTTACGGGCGGTGCAAATTTTTGCGGGCCACTTTTAGAACTTGAAGCGAAGCAATCTCGTTCCCAGAGTATGCCTGTTCGCGGGTTAGGTTGTGGCATGACTCTGGGGAAATCGAATCGAAATCGTTATTTGATTGGATGCCGTGATCATCAATGCTGCCAGGGCGCTATAAAACACGGGCGTGGAAACGCGCTTATTATCGCGTGATCTATGTGTGATGCGCCAGAGAACTGGCACTAGCGCGCGTTTTGAGAGAAAAGCAAAAAGAAAAGCAAAATCATGGCGGAAAAAATATTGTTGTGCGACTTTGAAAGCCAGGGCGAAAATAGACGTAAGACCTTTTTAATGTGAGATTTCTTTGATTAATTTTTAAAAGGAACATTATATTATGCCATTAATAAACTTTTTATGTAAGAAGCATCCGACGTATTTGAGAAAATAAGTTAGTTTTTCAATTATTTAAATGTGAGGGGCACCAAATTTTATTACTTTACGCACGACAGCAGAGATTAAAATCAATGCTGTCTGAACACTTGGTAGGCCTAGATAAATTTGATAGCTTAAAAATGTGTGGAGTTTCTCTGGCTTTAGTACACATTATATACCAAGACCGGCTTTTACCGGCTTTTTTTGCTATGCTTAAATTTTGGCAGTAACATAATTTTCTCGACAGCGCGTGAGAGCTAAAACATAAAAAGCTTACAAATCGCGGTCAAACTAAAAGTCAATGTCAACATTGCAACACAATTTTTCAGTAAATTAAATTCTTAAAAAACTTTAGGTGAACATAATTGTTTTCAGAATTTTTAACCCTGTCAGCATAATTTAACACTTTTCTATAAACCCAATAAGAAGTGTCTTTTCAAAGCGAGCAAAAACTTTTCTTTATATACATTGCATTAAAGTTCTCAGTTTACTTTTTTCATGCATAGACAAAAATGTCTTGTTAATATTTCAACATGCATAATGTCTAGTTCATGTATAAACTATAGCTGTTTACCACAAAATTTACAGTTAGAATGATATATAGTACCACATAATTTATAATTTTTACCAACAGAAAGTCGGCTTTTTTGTTAAAACATGATTTTTCGGTTTGGTATTGACATGGTCGTACATGAAACAACTGTTAGCCATTAATTTAGTATGCAGGAAGCGCGGAAAAAATGTTTCGACTTGTATCCCTTTTCCTAGGTGAAAAACGTTGCCTGAAATTTTGCACAGTTATTAATAAAGTTATGGAAAATCGATTTTTATTAAAACGAAGACCGGCTTTTTTGTGAAAACACAATTTTTCGGCTTGGTTTTGCCATGGTCTCGCTCGAAAGGACAAGGTTCATGTTTGGCCATGAAACTCAAACAGCGGAAAAAATATTTTTATTTATATCTTTTTTCCTAGGTGAAAAACTTGGCCTAAAAATTTGCACAGTTGTTGATAAAGTTATTGAAAATCAATTTTATTAAAAAGAAAACCGGCTTTTTTGTTAAAACATGATTTTTACCTGCATGGTTTTGACCTGGTCACTCAAATGAAACGACAAAGGCACTGTCAGCCATTTTTACTCATGAAACACGAAGCGCGGAAAAAAATGTTTCGACTTGTATCTTTTTTCCTAGGTGAAAAACTTTGCCTAAAATTTTGCACAGTTGTTGATAAAGTTATTGAAAATCGATTTTTATTATAAAGAAGACCGGCTTTTTTGTTAAAACATGATTTTTTCACCTAGTTTTGACCTGGTCTCACATGAAACAACGAAGGTACTGTCAGCCATTTTTACTCATGAAACACGAAGCGCGGAAAAAAATGTTTCGACTTGTATCTTTTTTCCTAGGTGAAAAACTTTACCTGAAATTTTGCACAGTTATTAATAAAGTTATTGAAAATCGATTTTTATTATAAAGAAGACCGGCTTTTTTGTTAAAGCATGATTTTTTCACCTAGTTTTGACCTGGTCTCACATGAAACAACGAAGGTACTGTCAGCCATTTTTACTCATGAAACATGAAGCGCGGAAAAAAATGTTTCGACTTGTATCTTTTTTCCAAGGTGAAAAA